AAAAAGCAGAATGGTCCGTTTCTATAGAAAGACAGACTCAGAAACCCCCCGAAATCGAAATTCTGTCAAAAAATCGAAATTTTTAGCATTAAACTGAGTCGCGACGCAACAATAGAATTTCGACAATTGTCTTTTGTTTTGTTGGAATGCGATTTAGCTAATTGTTTGTTTCGATTGTTTTCTGAGTAGTTGAAGCGTTTATTTTGGGTAAGTTTAGTATCTGATCTTTCTGCATTTAGATAATTTTTAACATTGTTAAGCGGAAAATCACAATTAGCAGCGATAATTTTCCCACAATGAATATTTCGATAATAATCGTTGTGTGGTTTCTTCAAAGAAAAGAATCGACTTATATTTACTTTGACTTATTTTGGAAAAGTGTATTCAATCTTTTCATTGTTAATTTTTGTCGATCGAATCGAATTGTTAAAGCAAACTCGAAAAATAAATTCTGTCGTTTTCCGTTATAATTTTGAGTGCATATTACATATGCGTACACATTACATCCCATATGACATAATTATAATTAAGCTAACCTTTAATGAATTCGAATAAATGAGTTTATTCGTCATTAATTTCTTCTAAAATATTTTGATTAGTTTTTATGACAATCAACAGAATAGCATAACTTTTATAAACCATAGAACTGATATTATTATAATATATTTAATACATAATAATTGAATGAATAATTTTAATGTTTTCAACAAAGTTTATTGTTCCATTACAACTTTATATTCATTTGTGATTAGAATTTTTCTTATACTTAAAACGATAATTTTCTATAATTTTCTGTCGTATTTATATTATGAAATTTTCATTTCTATTTTTAATATTTTCTTAATTTAACGCTCGTTCTACAATATTTAATACTCGTTTCTTTTTGCTTGCAGCATGGATAATTTCAAAGTCTTAAAGAAATGGAATACCTCTGGAGGAGAGAGTCCAGAGGATAGCTCCTCGACATCAGGATCGTCTTCCTCTTCAATTCGAGTGATTCGCGTGCGTCCGAAAAAAGTGGTGGAGTGTGTGAAGGAGAAATCGGGTGAACCCGACAAGAAACGGGTGATTGTCATCATTCCCGATGAGAGCACCTCATCTGTCATCGATTACCTGGAACAGAGATATCCAGAAATTCCGGAATGGTCGGTGCAGAGACAGGCACGCGAGGAAGGATTGGAAGAGGAGTGTAAATCGATTCTGAAAAAGAAGCCTTGGTGGAAGAAGATCTTCTTCTTCTGGAAGAAATAAATCAGCAAGGTCTTCTCACCGGATGTGACTTCCCCCCGATTGTGACCTTTTTTTTACCCGGATATGGACTTTTACCTGGCTATGACCTAATGACCGGACGCGACTTCATTCATCGAATGTGACATTTAATGGCGGTTTGGCGTCTTCCCTTTCCTGCTGACGGTTCTTGGAATGATACATGTCCTTCGTCATCGCTTACGAGGGACGTGTTCTTCCACTTCAGTTAATTAAAGTCGACGGTGACAACTTAGCACCGTCTTTGGTCGTTTGAAATCTCTCAACTGAGGATAAAATTCTGACCGGAAAATAATGGATTTTCGCCAGCAACGTGCGTGTCAACACTGGACACCCGAATGAAAACAAAAGGGAACTATCGCAGTTAGCATATGTCTAAGCCACGATTATAATTATGTCGAACAATTAAACGTGTATATAAACTTTTA